ACACATACAGATATTTAGACCTACATTTATTTCTATGTCTATCTATCTTACATTGAAAACCATGAGTTTACACTGATCTGTTCAATTTTATGCAACACCACACAAGCTTCATTCTGTTTTTTTCTTTCCATATTTGTACCTCCTTTTTCCAACAGTGAAAATCCACAATCTCATCATCCTTCATATATTTACTTATTTTATCAATCACCCTGTATGTACCAACCTCCCATCTCTGTAGCTCTTTCCTTATCTGAGCAAATGCTGTCTCCAGTCTACCCAGGTTCCTACACCCCACACTGGCCCTTCCCTGAGGTTATCCTCCTCATCGTACTCAGTCTCCCTTACCTCACTACATTTCTTCCTGCACTCCTGCATTTCCAAAAATGTGAAACACTAGAAGACCTATGTGCATCCTTGAGTTGGGTTCCCTTGTTCACTGTGGCTCTGCCACACTATTGCCTTTTAATGATGAAAGGGCGAGGGCTACGCCCTCCATCTTGCCCCGGATCCTCCATTTTGGGGCAGCAGCCATTAGCCATGTGCTCAGCAAGGAGCTTCTTCCCGGAAGCCCAAGCCTCTGCTAGCCACACCTAGGATTTCTTTAAACTAACCAATGATAATCAAGGGAAGTGTGCGCCATAGACACGACCACATCCTGTGTAACAAGACACCAACTTGCGCCTGGCCAATCGGCAGGGCCCACAGTCCTCTCTCCTCCCCTTACTCCAACCCCCCTATAAAACCCCTCTCCCCACAGAGCTCTCTCTCTCTCTGCCTCCTGCCGCTGCGTCAGCGAGTGTGGTGGACGGGGAGCTCGAGCTAGCTCGAATAAAGACTCTTTTGCTTTTGCATCGGACTCGGCTGGCTCCCTGGTGGTCCTTTGGGGATCCTGAAATCTGGGCATAACAATGATGGTCTCCACCCCCTCTAGGACTCCTTCAGCCTGGAACACACGCTCTCTCTCCCTTGCCCCACTGTTATGACTACCCAAAACTTTCAAGTACAACTCATGTGTCACTTTTAGGGGGCAATATTCCCTTGCTTTCAAGCTGGACTAGGATTCCCTGTTGCATAATTCATGATATCCTTACCTTTTTCTTCATATCCCTCATCATAATTATGGTTGTGTTGTAGGCAGTTAGACAGACATGAGCAGAGCAAGGACAAGGGGCAGGTACAGAAGGTCACCAGGATGGAAAGCCCCAGGTGCCTAGCAAAGCACAATCGATTATAGGATGAGATCTAGCCCCCAGGGTGACTTTTCCTCCCCTAGCATATCACTGGTCATGCAATTTGGACCAGGATCCCCTTACCTTTCCTCCCTAGAGATAAGATCTGTGCCTCAGGTGTATTTCAGCTCCAGGCCCAGATAAGCAACAAAACCAGCTACAGCTGAAATCAGGACCAGCTGCATTGAATAATGACCCCCTGCCCTGGTGCTCCCCAATCAATCAGTGGAGACTACAACCCTCAATGGACACACCTGGAAAGCTACTGAATATCTATTGAGATCTTCTACAGTGATTGGCAAATTCATTAGTCAACAGAGCCAAATATCAACAGTACTTCTTCAAAATAGACTCGCCCAAGCTGAAAACCAACTTCTGCGCATGGGCCACGAAGTTTCAATCGCCCTGTACGTGTGCGCCTGCAGTGGTATGAGGTCCTAGGACAATGGTTCTCAACCTTGGCTGCACATTAGAATCACCTGGGAATCTTTTTAAAATCCTGATTTCTGGGCCTCATCCTCCGGAAATTCTGTTTCTTTGTTTTGGGGTGGGGCCACAACATTAGTAACAAAGAAACAGAATTTCCAGAGGATGAGGCTGGGAAATCAGGATTTTAAAAAGATTCCCAGGTGATTCTAATGTGCAGCCAAGGTTGAGAACCATTGTCCTAGGACCTCCCTTAAAATCTCCACCCTTAAAACCCTAGAATGGAGGACCCAGTGCAGTCTCCCTCCCGGATGCATGCCTGTGCTTTTTCCTCCCCCCTCACTCCCCAGGCACGTTACTGTTAGCTTACTCACTCCCAAACTCCAAGGGCCCTTCCTTTACCGCTGTAACTTGTTTCCTAAGCCCATTTCTTCTAGCAATTACTTCTTCTACCTCTGTGATTTACCAAATAAATGTTCTCTTACAATTTGGGTCTTGGCTCTGAATTCTTTCCTAGCCAGAACTCAAGTACCAAGGTTGCTGGTCACGCGGTTTAGACCAGGACCTCCTGACCTTTCCTCCCTAGAGATAAGATAATTGAATTTCTGTATCCGTTTCCCTGAGGAGGGTGATTTAAGCTATTTCCCCTCTAGTTGGGGAGAAGTGCAAACCATTATAGGTGGCTGCAAAGTGCTGTTTAACTGTCTTAGTTTCCCTATTCTGCTTGCCTTGGAATTTTCCTAGCTTCTTATTATTCTGTGACATTATTACTAGTAGTTCCTTAGGGAAGTTCATTCATTTTATCCATAGCCTATAGTTTAACTTTCATTGGTAACATTATTTCCAAGGTCTGCAAGAAATCGCATGGTTGTTTTTTGGTTTGTTTTTGTTTCTTTTGTTGTAAATAACTGGGTTTGGATAATTAAATAGTTGATGACCAAATGGAGAAATCTGGAAATCAAGATTTCTTGTTAGTACATGGCATAATCCAGACCTGAAGTAACCCAGTGTCTATGATAAGATGTTCCCTGGGCTAAGGTCTCCCTTCTTCTAGATAAGTGACCCCAGAGGATATGCATCCCATAAATTAATTTCTAAATTCCAAATAAGTTTTCATAGCAGAAATGTATTGACAACTTGTTGAAGTTGTTGTGGACGAAAGGGGCCCATGCTAACCTAACAAGCTCAGGGGAGGCCTGCATGGCAATCTTGCAAACTCAGAGACCTAAAAACCACAAAGGATGGTCTGAAATTAAACGTTAACTAAAAGCAGTTATGGTGCGTGGTTATATCTTAGGCCGGTATTTTCACTGACAAGGTCAACCTTTACCTTAACTGAGCCTATGTCTTTTTGCATCTATAATAACATAATCCTTTGAAATGTCCTGGGTAACTTGTAACTTCCCTTTTTCTGGACCCCTTGGGGCACAACCTAATGTGCTAGGAGCCAGGACAGATACCACAAATTCCTTCATTATCATGTTAATTGTTCCTGCATCCACCTAAGTCTGTGTCTATCATTTTTCTTTTTATCCAATCCCAGAAGTTGCCCCCCCCCCCACTTTGCTTTCTCCCGTCTCTCTAGTCTATCACCAATACTAGATTTCATGTAACCCACCTATGTCCCTTTCCTTTGATTGCAATGTATGAACACAGATGTAACCCGCCATTCTCTGGAACATTATCTCAACTCATTGAGGTTCTGCTTCCCGGCATATGTTGACAGTTTGGCTCAAATAAACTCACAAAAATTCTTTACAGGGTTCAATGGTTTTTTACATTAACATTGTATTCAGTGGAGACAGTGCCTCATAGTGCTGTGCTGTTTGGGAAACGCAGGCAGCGATCCAGAGAAGCTGTGCCAAGCAGGCCACCAGCAGAGGCAAAGCCAGCATTTTATCCCTCATTCAGTAAAATGCCTAGAAAAGTCTGTTCCTCACCACTTTGAATGCTGGTCTCTGTTAGGAAATTATGTAGACATGTCACAACACGTTGTTTAAATACTATAATAACAACTTACATTTTTTTAGTATTAAAAATGTCAAATTTTCAAGAAACCTATCAACTTGCCCTTTGAGGTTCTAGAGCTTGATCCACATCCATCATCAAAAAAATTTTTGAGCTCCTATACTGTACAGAACATGTTACCAGGTTCTGTTTAAGAAATGAGGCCTGCCTGTTAGTGGGCGTCCAGTGCATGGGAAGGATTGAAAGCACATGTGGGGTCCCATATGTGGGCATGCAGTAAGTGCCAAACAGACTCATGAAGGGCTGGAGGAAGCTCCTGGAGGAGGTAAAGCAGCTGGCAGAGTGTCTGGAAAAGAGGCAATAGGGAATGAAACCCTGAGTGCTGTTCTGAAAGGAGGGAGTTCGGCCTGTCCATTGGGCAGCTCTCTCCGGTTAGAATAAAACATCACTGTTTCTAAGGGGAAAGAGGCTTGAAGGAATAATTTAGGCAGAAATCCTGCTTCTGTCATAAGAAGTAGAGCCAGTGAGGAGAAAGAGGCTCACAGATTCCATTTCACAGCTGTTTCTTCTTTTTGAGAACTTTTACGAGTTTGAGTCAAGCAGAAGACATATGCCAGGGAGCAAGATCTCACATGCTCTCCATTTCACAGCTTCTCTACACTAATGTACCCGTTCACTCATCCACTCCTTCTTGCGCCAGGTGCTTTGCTGGATGCTGGAGACACCAGGCCAACATCAGTGAGGCGCCCGTTGGGTCTGCCCTGCACTGTCTGCCCAGAGACATTTAGGGCACGTCTTAAGTCAAGGCAGCCTCCCTGGTATCTACAGACCCACAGGCCTCTCCTCAGATCTAGACTTCAGCTCTCAGCGTCTCAGTGCTGATCCCAGAACCTGCCTCACATGGCGCATCCCCATTCTTCTGCAGCTCAAGTTGGGACCACCGGTCCGGTGGCTGTTGCCTGTGCCAGCTGCTTTCAAGGCAGCAATATCTGATTGGATGTGAGGCTGACAGAAAGGTGTGCAGCAGATGGAGGCTGCGGTCCTGCTTCCTCTCCCAGAGACCTCATCAGTCAGGCCTTAGGCAGGGGTGGGCAAACTTTTTGACTCGAGGGCCACAATGGGTTCTTAAACTGGACCGGAGGGCCAGAACAAAAGCATGGATGGAGTGTTTGTGTGAACTAATATAAATTCAAAGTAAACATCATTACATAAAAGGGTACGGTCTTTTTTTTTTTTTTTTTTTAGTTTTATTCATTTCAAACGGGCCGGATCCCGCCCGCGGGCCGTAGTTTGCCCACGGCTGCTTAGGGGCTCTAGCGAGGGGGAACCCGGGAGGGAGGGCTGGCCCCTCCCACTAGCCCCGCCCAGGCTGTCAGGGAGGAGGAAGCCCCGCCCCCGCCGGGCTCGCTCAAGTCCAAACCCGGCCTCCAGCCTCCTACCCACGACCCTCGGCCGGGCAGCCGCCAGAACCTCCAAGCGTCCTGCGGGCTGCAGCTTCCACCCGGAGGGAAGAGCGACATGGCGGCGGCCAAGCCCGAGAACCTGTCTCTGGTGGTTCACGGACCCGGGGACCTGCGCCTGGTAAAACGGGAAGGGGAGTGGGGAGCCGAGCCCGACCCTGCCCTCTGGCCTTGGAGCCCAGGTGGGCCCGCTCGCCAATTCC